CTACCGACTATATAAATAAACTATTTATTCCTAGAACGCATCAACTATTAGTCTACTACAGTACCTAAACGCGCTTAAATACCCTTACTTCTCTAAAGACTATAAATAAACTAGTAGCATAAATGCATAAAAAGACCCCAGCTAGCAATTTTTTTGGGCGCATTGCAGACTTTTTGGGGCAGACCTCGGGCGCATTGCAGATTTTTTGGGGCACTTCGGGCGCATTGAAGACTTTTCGGGGCAGACATCGGGTGCATTGCAGACTTTTCGGGGCATACTTAGGGCACATTTGCTATTCCGACTTTAACTTAGGGCGCACTGCAGATTTTTTGGGCCGTTCTTATTACCGTTGATTGGCTATAAATCAACCAATGGGAGTAACCCATATGTACTTCATCAACCAATGACAGCTAACTTTGCTAAACTGCGTTACAATGAATCTGAATTAGTGATTTGTAATATATAAATTGAAATTATATACCCATTTAATATGAGCAATCAATTAAACATACTATTTACTATCTGAATACATCATGATGGAACACTTCATCAGAAGTCTTTTACTGGACTAGAATCCTTGGAAGCGGTTGATTTCTCAGTTTGTTTTTCCACTGCGGTGAGTTCACTGCCTGCTTGCCAACCTCTTAGTTTACCCATTTTTGGAAGCAATTAATTGCATACTTATGTGTTTAATATTACGACTACTACACAGTGCTGCCCAATTTTATTATTAAACATAGCATATAATCAGTGTAGACTGCAGAAATCAGTTTCTTTAATTTTTTCTGATCTATTATATTATAGGTAAAATGAGCTTTACGGGTTCTCCGTCAACCATGACCAATACACTAAATAACGTAAATGACAGCATAACACCAGCTGTTGTGGAACCACAACGCCGGGCGTATTTGAGACTACGTAAGTTGCATTTATCAATCTTCTGTGACGAAGCAGCGAAACTTAAATTTGACTTCAGCCGATATAAGTCAATGTATTACAGACGTCTCAAGAAATGCAGACTGGAGTGGAAGAAGCATTTAGAAGGTAAGCTTGTTATTTCAAATTAATGTACACAGATTTATATTCCAAATGTCGTGAAAGTGAACCGCAGCCAGAAATTACGCCAGAAAACATGGTTACTCCCCAGCAACATCTCCTTCCAGTTGATGTTCCTTTGGATACCATTGCATCTCCACCGTTATTGGAGGAACACTTAACGACTGAACAACTGCCTGCAACTGAGAAAGCTCACCGCAGCGAGAGCACTGCAGCTGACGCTATTCGCAACATTGTCTACCGATGCAAGCTAAATATGGCAAATACTCGTATTGTGCTGGAAGAATTGAAGTCCCTGCATCCTGAGTTGCCGACTGACCCACGGACATTGATGAGGACTGAAGACTTTTTTCAACGGAGAGCAGTTGGTCCTGGGATGTATGTTCACATTGGCCTTCGTCGTCAGATTTTGTCTCGCTTACAAAATCTGAAATCTGAAGTCTCAGAGCCAATTGGTCTGCAGCTGAACATTGATGGTGCTCAAATTTTCAACAATTCCAAATTGCAGATGTGGCCAATACAAGGGAAGTTACTTCTGTCTGGCTGCGACAAGGTATTCTTGGTAGGTGTCTACTGTGGTTCATGTAAACCTTCAAGTATACACACTTTTTTGAGGGACACTGTAGTAGAATTAGAATGCATTTGTGCTAATGGTATCACATTACCCAACAGCCATTGCATTGACATCGTACTTAAAGGTGTCATCTGTGACACACCAGCGAGAGCACTAGTTAAGCAAATAAGCGGTCACAATTCAACACAAGGATGCGATAAATGTGAGGCTGTATGCCGTCGTGCAAACAATCGCATGGTTTATCCCACTACATGTGCCGCTTTAAGAACTGACTCGTCATGACTGCCATTCAACGTTGGTTCCATAACAGTCGAGACAGACTGAAGACGAGGATAAGAAAGCGACGGCATTCACCTTTGGTAGTTATTTATTTTTTCAAACTTCCATTTTCAGATGACCGTTGACACCAACAAAGAGAACATCCCGGACGCAGAAAGCACACGGATGACTTTTCCGGCGGATTTATAAGATGTTTTACTTATTTGACTTGTCGAAAGATTGTAAATTCCTTGTAAAATGTTGTTAAATGTATTTCTAATTAAAATCCACTGTTTTCTGAAATCGTGAATCGTTGAGGTGCTGCGAACTGACTGTTCATTGAAGCAACCTGTGTACGTAATAGAATTGACGTAGTGTTAGTTGTCGACTGCGGGTTAAAAACGAAACTGTCGGCGCGGTGCACCAGGCTGTGGTGTATAATAGTAAATTAGGGCGCATTGCAGAGTAATTGGGGTAAACTTAGGGCGCATAGCGGACTTTTCGGGGTAGACTTAGGGCGCATTGCAGACATTTCGGGACAGTCTTCGGGTGCATTGCAGACATTTCGGGGCACACTTAGGGCGCATTGCAGACTTTTCGGGGCAGTCTTCGGGTGCATTGCAGACATTTCGGGGCAGACTTAGGGCGCATTGCAGACTTTTCGGGGCAGTCTTCGGGCGCATTGCAGACTTTTCGGGGCAGTCTTCGGGCGCATTGCAGACTTTTCGGGGCAGTCTTCGGGCGCATTGCAGACTTTTCGGGGCAGACTTCGGGCGCATTGCAGACTTTTCGGGGCAGTCTTCGGGCGCATTGCAGACTTTTCGGGGCAGACTTCGGGTGCATTGAAGACTTTTTGGGGCAGTCTTCGGGGCGAAGTTTCAAAAACGGCAATCTGCCCAAAAATTTTTGCCCCGAAAAGTCTGCAGTGCCCCCGAAGAAAATGCTGGCTGGGACATAGTAGAAACAAATTTTTGTTCATCAAATTACAATGTACAACGAATATAAACAAACTTTTTTGACACCACATAGTTTTTCTTTGTCCTCTGGTACATTTCTGTTGTATTTGCCTTGTAGTACAAGTTGCATTGATCTCCATTCCGAGTGAAGCTGAGAAATAATTGAAGTCACTTACTCATATATTATCCCTCAAGGTTTGGCTAGTAATGGCTCAGCATCCTTGATGAAATCCACTGTCACCATAACTAGACGCTGTACAGCATCTTATACAAGCACTGTCAACGATCTAAAATGGTTTTTATATAGCTTTCTACGCGTTTATCAACTTACTCGTACGGAGCAACCATGCTGTGACAAATGGCGGGCTATGGGTGACTTGAGTGCAGTAAAACAAATCTGCCTGACAATGACCAATATTAATCTGCATTCAGTTGAATTCACATCTGGTATTACTTGCAATAAAAATGATGTCAAAATCATAAAAATAAATCACTCATTTTAAATTAATACCCAATTTGAACATAAAACAAGATACGATGCCGCACACAACAAAGTAATATGGAGGAATTGGCTTCAAGCTTTATTTTTTCCCAAATATTTGTAATTTATCGGACACATACTTGGGTGTTTTGTTAATGCGAAGACAATATTTCTATATTCCTTTATGTTCTCTATTGAACGACTAACTGTCAGAATGTACTCACTAACTGATGTCAGAGAGGACAGCAACCATGTAATTTCACTATAAATCAAATTCATGTAATTTAAATAATACTTATCCATGCCTGTACAACTGGTGTGTCCTACATTGATAGGAAATATATATTATTATTATTATATCTTCCAGTTTCAGTGATCGCTTCTCATAGCCTAAGTGGACAATATCACCAGCAAACACTAAGTTGACGAGACTGTTCCACGGTAAGTCCCTAGAGTCAATGACAGACAATTCTATTAATACATATATGTAGAAATGAGCTTTGTACTATATCCTTCTTGGAAACATCAGTTCCCTCATAGTTAAGTTTCAATATTAAGTGAATGGAATGCAATCTACAGATTCATGAAATTCACACACCGACGTACTACTTTTCTAGAAACCTAGTTAATGGCTCCTCAGTAAAGTGGGAAATGGGCATTGTACTTGTGTAAACTCAATAGGCTGTGAACTGCTGCCAATGAAAACGACAACAATTCTTGGAATAACGAGCTATAATTTTAGCTTGATCGCATGCAACAATCAGCCACTTGATGAACATAGAATCCATACAGAAAGCGCAGATTTAATACAACGTGCACACTCCTGATTTCACTATGAAGCATCCATACCAAATGCATTACTTTAGAGGCCTACACAGTTCACAAATTAACTCACAACACTGAAGTGGAAAAATTTATATTTGTCCTTACTGAGCCTAATATAGCGAATCTTGTGAAGTAACTTTCTTATGCAGAAGAGAAGAGCAAGGTATTCATAATCTTTTGCTACATGTGGAGTCGCAGTGCATCTCGGTCCGCAATAGCATATATACGAATAAACTGAAAAATAAAGTCCTCCTTACCTTCCGAACAACTTGACCTTATTCCAGGATAATTACTTTCTTTCACCTATTAGCCTAAGTCATGTCCATGAAATCGCAATATTACATCGATTAAATCTCCCCCAAAATCAATGCCACTTGAAACCCAAAGCAACATAGCAACGGACATCGTAACGGGGATATGCCATAAAGCCACTCAGTTGGGAGGCTCACGGAGAAGTGAATCAGAAAGGTGAATTATTCTCAGTCTTCTGCGCCTTCAGTGATTGGGTGATCGGAGGCAGCGTGTACAAACACGAGGACATACACAAGGCCAGCGAAATGGATTTTTACTGATGGACACACCACAAAGCAGATAAACTATCTAAATATCGCTCAAGGAAGTGGAGACGCGGCTAGTCTGCTGGACACAAAGTCGAAAAGGGGGTAGATGAGGGCCCAAGCCATCATCTAGTTCAAGGAACACTCAAAGCGAGGCTGAAGTGCAACATTCAGAAAATGAAGGAAAAAGCTACAATGGATGCCTTCACTACAGATCAGAGCAAAGTCGAAGACACTATGTGGCATCACGGAGGAAGCCTGCGCGGAAGAACATCGAAACTTTCTGAAGGTGACGTTCAAGCAAACGTGTACAACTGTTCAGGAAGAAAGAAGAGACAAGACGAGGGACACCTGACTGGAAGCTAATAAAAGAGGGGAGAGGAGGATTTTGAAAGATTACTCAATAAAAATGATATATACATGGAGAAGTTTCGGCTGCCTTCACCGTGCTAGTGATTTCTTCGAGAACTAACGGGTATTCGGTTACTTATGCGTATTTATGGATGCTTGATTCGGGGCTCATGAGATTGCAGTCAATGAACGTGAACATTGAACGTTTGTTTATTGGAACTGGCAGCCATAGGTGGGCAACTCGAAGGCGCGAATGGTCCGATCGCGTGCAAGTTTGAAGACAGCGGAAGAATACGAATAAAAGTATTTATAATTTCATCTGCACTAAACATTTGTTTGCATACTTGTAATTGTCTTTAATTTAATTGCCAAACAATATAACTTCGTTCAAAGAATACTGGTGTTTTGGAGTTAAAGTCAAGAAAATACATAGTCATTATCGGTTCAAAGCGTCTTCGTTAAGTTCCTTGACAGTTTTTATTCCTCTGCTCGTTTTCTGGAGCGCCTTCTGGCGCAGTTTTTATAATAATAATAATTTATATTTTCATATAAACATAAATTTACATGAAAATGCATGCCATTTTTACAGGCACGATCAAGTATGATATAATGTCAAATAGTAGATTGTCTACAAGTTAATAATGTTTGAACAGCTAAATATTTGAGATATATATAAATACACTCATTGTCTGACCCATGTCGTATCATTATTGAATTAAACAGCAGTCCTCCAGGTTGCGCAGGAAAATCGACTTCGTTTCGTTTTCAACCCGTAGTTGTAGGCATACGATAACCAACCAATATTGAGGTAAGTACAGCGTTTACAAGGGATAGTAAGCTGTTTTAGAAAATTAAAGGTGCTAAGGTGAATCATTAAAGTGTAATGAAATAGGTAAGTGCAATGTATCATTAATAGATGCATTCATAAAGGAAATACAATGGGAGACTATAATCCCTAGGCTGACAAAGTTCATTTGCAATGTATAATGCTACCCTATCATGATGTCCACTTTTGGTTTTAATACAATTATCCACAAGCCGGTTGTTTTTATTTCATACCTTTTTGTGTATTTGGTGCACAACCGCACCCTATAGAGAATAGGAATAGAATAAGTCGAGTCAAATTCATAAAGGGCTATAAAATGTTAGGTTTAGTGGAATATAATGAGCAAGTGAAGACGTTATTAGAAAATGAATGAGATGAGACATTGTTAAGTGATGTTTGAAGATACGACAAAGGAAAGCGTGTTGGTTTATGATATGCCCGATAAATCTGTGCAGAGCCCACGTGGTCGCATCTCAGCAATAGGCTGACCGAATGGTATATGTTTAAAGGTAGAAGCATGATCTGTCTAGGCGATCATTATTATCTTTTTCAAGATAACAATTCAAGCCCTCATAAAAATCTCGAGCCGTCATATTGCGTATTGACAAAGAATTCCACGACAATAGTTCTGTGGAAAGAGGGCGGTCTGTCAAAGATAGGAAAGCAGCGAAATTGGTTAATGAAACCTGTACTTTTGAGAACGGTCGATTTATCGTGAAATTACCTCGGAGATCCGAGGTTAAACAGACGGTCTGTAACAGAGAGGTGGCAATGAAGAGACTTCTGAGTTTAAGAAAGAAATTCCTGGTAAATTCAGATCTGTGGACCAAGTATAAAGAGGTCATCGACAAGCACATAGTTAAAGGTTACGTGGAAAGACTGGTTAATCAGAAAGAACCAGGGAAATGGTATCTGCCTCATCACCCGGTCTTTAACCCTAAGAAACTCAGCAAACTTCGCGTAGCCTTTGATTGTTCTGCGAAACACGAAGGTGTTTCCTTGAATG